TCCATTTTCAGTTGAAACTGAGACTCAAGGAAATAATGATACAGGTTACAAATGGCAGAGCCAGCATTTGTATTCAATGTGATTCAACTGCAAAATCACATTTTTTTTTTCAACCAAGAAACAGTTTTTTCTTCCTTAGAGCAGAGTTAGAAAACAATAATCTACGTGTAGGATATAGAAAACACAGGCTTGAGAGAAGTGAGATCCCAGACACTGATGGAGGTGATGGGAGGGAAGAGGCTATTGTTAAGTTTTACTAACAGGCTTGGCAATTACAGTTAAAATCAACTCCTCTGCCCTTTAGGCACCCTCACTAGAGACAAAAGCCAACCCTGCTTCTTGAAAGAATATTATTCTTTCTTGCACCTTACCAAAACTTTATGGGTTTCTCTAATGAAGACTTAGAAAAATTATGAAAAGGAATTAGTCTATAGTGTAAAAATATTTGTAAGCAGAGGCCCTACTACTTCAACCGTGGGAATTTAGAAACTTTTCAAAATAAAATTCCTGGATTACTCTTGCTATGTTTTAGGAAACACCAGGCTCTAGGTCAGAATTTGAATACTAGAACTTTAAAACTGTGAACTAAGTCATTTAATGCCTATTGAACTGGGTTCCCATTCTTGTTGACGTAAAAAGAAAGATAATGCATCTTCCCTCTCCTTCCTTCATCCCTACCAGAAATTTTTTAGTATAAACTATTATCTTATTTGGGAAGTAAATATGCCAGCTATTACATACCAACCCTGATAATTTCTAGGATATATGGACACATTTTTTAATTAAATTTTTGTTATACGCTATGTAAAAAAAAAGTATATTGCTATACTTTTCTATCTGAAAGTGACTGCATTCGTCAAGCTACTTTAATCTGGAAAAGAAAGAAAAATGTAGAACTTATACTCCATATGGCTTTTTTCCAAAGCAAATTACTTGTGACAATAATGTGCAAGGCTGGTTCTTAAATCCACTCTTGGGAACTGAGAGGCAATCAAGACTTAAAGATGGGCTCAATGTGCTGAGGAAGATGACTTGCTGGCCAATCAACACCATGCAAGGAACACTGATTAATGAATTTCATCTACCTAAAGTGACGACTCTTTAAGTTGCACCAGGCATTGTCGCAGTCTCTATGTTTTCAACATTTTAAATCAACGATATGAGTGAAACACAAAGCAGCCATCTTTGAAAGAATGGATCCTTTTGATGGTATTCCTTATAAGAAACAGGCAGTCCTATTACTGAACACTTCAAGAGAGAGGTACCCCTACATTGTAAAGAAACTGATTTCATTTGTGGTTATTTCAGCCAAAAAGCTTGCCCTTAATATTAAGTAGAAATCTTAATACTATGGAGCTATACAAAGCTTGATTCCCTTCCAAATGAAAAATACTTTAATTATCTCAGGATTTCACTATTAAGTCTGTTCATTCTAACACTATTCTATTCCATCTATATGCCAACCCCAATTTCAACTCCTTCCCAAATGCTTTCAAAATACTTTGGTTTACTTGTATTTACCTTAAAGTATGGTATCCAAAACTGTACTCATACTCAAATGAGGAATAACTGAATATGATATATTAATGTTGAACAGCATTCATTGTTTGGCACTGCTCTTGAGAACCCCCTTCACCTTTTCATAAAATTGTGGGTCACACTTGGCTTTTACTCATGACAAAATTTGGTTTCCTAACTTGAGTCCTAATTGAATAGATAAATCCCTGGGATTATCTACAGATAAATTGGTCTGTACCAGGATGGTAGAAATATCAAAATGTCACTTAACAAATATTTTGCACTAGGTCCTTACTACATTTCTGTTTGCTGGCACACTAGTCCAAGACATGGGAAAAAATGAAGGAGGAACAGGCAAGAAAATATGCTCTACATAAATCACTCCACAGGATTAGTCCCTAACTTCCTCAAGCCACATAGGGCTCTTAGTTACAATATTGGCAACGTTGCTAAAAACATTATTGGGCAAAGAGAACCCACCTTTTAAGAATGAAGTAGAAGAAAGAGGTAGTAAATGCAAAAATGTCTGAAATTTCCAATTTTAAGTGCATTTACAGTCAAAAGACAAAGCATCAACAGGTGCATACTTAGGCTCTCTCCCCTCTGTTCATCCCCATCCTATCTCCCCCCCTTCAGCCTCTCATCTATCTCTTCAGATTTAAGGCTCTCCCAACCTCTTTCATGACAATACATACTTGTGGGTTTTTTTGTTTGTGTTTACAGTGACCTTTCAGGGATAATGGCTCCTAATTCTGTTGAATAATCAAATACCGACTGTGAGATCAGAGAGAAAATGGTGAGAGTGGCACAAGAATGATTAAAAAGGGCTAAGTATAAAGGACTTTAAGGCCATTCTCAGAGGTGGCTGGAAATGCTGTATGTCAGGGAGGTGGTGGTGACACTGGGAACATGATATGTTTAGTACCCCACAAATACAGTATGTGTGGGAGGGTGAGCAGCACAAGCAGCTCAACTTTGGTTTAACTGTACAAAAGGCAATAGTCATATGGAACCAGTTAAAAACCCTGGATGTACTGTGGCAATTTCTAGAACAAACAGGTCCTACCTACTTACTGGGAATGCAAATCTTCAATTAGAAGTACAGTGGCCTCCCAGAGCAACTGGGAAGAATAGTTACTGGAAAAGGATGGTTTCCTCAGTTTGAGGACCTGCCTCACTGTTCATAATAAAGGCTAACAGTTATTGAATACCATTATGTGACAGACTTTATGCTAAGTATTGCATATGCTTCACTGAATTCTCCAAAAACTGCAAAAATGAGAGTTGAAACTATTACCATTTCCATTTTTACAGATAATGAAACTGAGGCTCAAAGAGGTTGAGTAACTTGTACAAGTTCTTATGACTTGTAAGTGGTAGAACCCAGATTAGAACCCAAGTAGTCTGAATGTAGAACTCAGGCCCTCAGTCACCATACGTATCTGCTTCTATAGTAGACAGAAAAAAAATACCTGTTTACAAACTGTTAATCTTTTCATTTTTACTGTCTGATTTTTATTTTAGAATAAAACTAACCAATACAGAAAAATTTAAAAAAACACACACCAAACGTGTCTGCTGTCATGGATAAGCTCAGCTGAGTGCTTTACAAAGTAATCTACTTAAGACACAAATGATAATGATAGAGGTTCAACAACCAAGGCTCTAAACCTTAGTAACTTTATTGTAAAGATGGGAAAACCAGCCCTATCTCGCAGCATTGGTGTGAAAAGTAAACAAAATAATAAATGCATACAAGAGCATTCTGTAATATACAAATCACTATATACTATTAGGTATCACTTTCCTTAAACACAAAAAGCATAGATTTTGTAAATCTAACAGACAGAACACACTGTCCACACAATTGCAAAAGACAGCCTCCTAACTAATGGATATTGGATATAACATGTACAACTAAGACCAAGGGAAAATTACCTCCTAAGAATATTTTTATCAGCCTTTAAGGTTAGTGTTGGAGGAAATTCACACAGAAATTAACACATACATCTGGGAACTTTATGTCAGGAGTCAGAGGAGTGCAGCAATTATAAAACATCACTTCCTTTTCGCCTAGCCATGAATGTAGGCAGTTGTACAAAACACTAGCTAAAATACCACCTTCTACAAGCCATCCTTGGTCTCCCCTGTCAGAACTGACTGCTATCAAGAGTTATCAGTTGCTTCCAATCCTGACTTCCTTCTACTTCTTGAACTCGAGTTCACAAAGAACCTCAAACATCTAAGGCAGATGATCATATTGGCTGGCACTCAAAAGTTTGCTCTATGAAGTTTGCATTTTTCAATTTTAAGCCTACGGCTGTAGTTGCAATCTGCACTTGGGGGTAAACACATACCCAGACACACCACAGACGTAAAAACAATTCAGTGTGGAAAAAATCTGGTTGTGCATAGTATCTTTTCCCATCATGATCTACGTGGTACAGAAATGCTGTTTAAAAAATCGAATGGGTGGCACAAACGGAAATGAAAGAGGAGACAAGTGCATGGGAATATTTAAAACACCCTCTGTAATTCAGAACTACTTTCTCCACCTTGTTTCACAAACACATTAGGCATCTTTGCATCACAAAGACAGAGTATTCTATCTCGTGACAGATCCATTCTAGGAGTTAAAGACCAGGCCCGTTATTCTAAACACCATCCAGGAGCACGTACTATTTACCTTCCAGTTATGAACCCAAAGCAAATGCCATCCACAAGGCCCCGATAAGAAAAGGAAAGGATTGTGGAAATGTAAAAGACTCAACTCAGCTTTGTAGGCCCGAAAACAAGAACACTCTGAGATTATACAGGAGACTAAGGAACCTGAGGCGAGGCTCCTAGGAAATGTGTTTTAATGAGCTTCACTACACGCCACGCGGGGTTGCACAGGGACGTAAAATATTGCTGCGAAGCGTTTCTGATGGGGCCTCCTTCGAGGCCGGCGTCGGCCCGTGTGAGGCCGCCGGCGGTGGCACGGCCGTCTCGCCGCCCTCCCTCCAAACCCCGGGCCGCTGTCATCCTCGTCGGAAAGGCGCCCTGATGAACCCATTAATCACCGCGCGCTCCCTCCATCCCCCAGGACGCGGCCTCCCATCGCCTGAGGAGAACGCGGGTCAGCGTCTTCTCCCATTTCGGCTCCACACGCCCCTTCCTCGCCCCGCGTGGAGACCGCCTTCAGCTCCGGCGGGCGACTACATCCCCGACCCCGTTTCGTAGCTATGCCCGGAATCATCCATTACCTTCCCCAAGCAAATGTGGCACGTGATGGGTAGCGTGAGCGACAATGTAACGTTCTGCACGGTCTGAGCCATGGCAGCGTTCAGAATCCCGCCAACACGGAAGTCCCGCCGACTGCAGCTCCTCGCCGCGACTGAGGACGCGCGAGGCCGGCTACGGCAGCTCGGCAGGGCCATAGCCCGCCCGGGAAACGAAAACGCGCTTTCAAAAATGCGCGATCTCCCAGGGCTTTTTCCTTTCTTACAAAAATAAATAAATAAATAAATAAACTCTTTCCCCGTTTCGGGAGCTGAAAATTCCTGAGAATGGAAAGGAATGTGGTTTACTACAGGCATCGAGGATCTTGAAAATTTAAAGTTAAGCGTTATAGTGAAGAGGAGAGAGGAAGATACGGAAAGGTGATTTTTAAATCCCCGAATCTTTTTCTGGGGTTGAATGGAGGAGAGAGTTTTTTCGCTTGAAGATTAAACCCCACACAGTCCGTAAACATACGACGCAATCAAAACACGAAGAAAAGAGATGTCTACACATTTTAATTTTTCAAAACAACTTTCCACCTTTCTCAGCTCCCTTTCCATTCTTAAGTGATATAATGTGCTTCCAGAGGGCACAATAATTGACTTAAAACACACAGTGATTGTCTCCTTATCTGTGTCTGAGACAGTCTGGATACATTTAATCTCAGCTTTCCTTGAAGATGCGCTTTCACTGTTGGCCTTTCTGTGGTTACTGCCTAAAGGAGATTGAAGTTAAAGACTGGAGTCATGGACTTTCATTAATACCCAACCTGAGAGAACTGCAAACAGTGAGAGGATCATTCACTTGGGCAAGGCATTTTAACGTCTTCATTTCAGATACATGATTGGCTATGAAATGTACCACTGCGTTATTGAACTTCGAGAGAGAATTTGTGAGGTTATAAACTATTTCCTACCAATGAAAAAGAAAAAAATCTAAAAAGTTCCTAAACGAATTTTAAATGCATTATCACAGATTTGGAATCTAACTGCAATATACTTTAAGTGAGAGAGCAGATATGATAAACTACACAACAGATACAATCTGTGAGTTGTCAGATTTAGAAACAAGACCACTGGGACAAATTTTATTAATCTTTTTGGAAAAGAAGCAGCATGATCTCAAGAAAGAACCTCTTTCTTGAGGTTAAGATCAAGGAGTTGTGGACCTGGACTGCTGGAGGAAAATACCCACCCCCAACAACTTCCTAGCTCCATGGCTTTAGGCAAATTATTTAACTTCTCTGCATCTTAGCTTCTTCATTGGGAAATTTTGAGTGTGTATATGAGGATCAAATGAAGTCAATACATGCTTACTATCATGTCTATAAAAGGGTCAGGCAACCATGGGATTGGAGCAGCTAGTAGTTCACATGAAGAAGCCTCAAGTCCAGTTCAAAATTGGGTCACAAGTGAAAGTGAGAATTCTTCCAAACAACTGGAGATGATCATGTGCTTGGAATTGGAGAACCCAGCAAAGTAGCTATATTGATCATCTGTCTATGGCTACTTTTTCAGAGTGCTTGGCATAAATGTCATTCAGTTTGGCTATTGCCTGATTATTTGAAGGCAACGCCATATTTATATAAGGTCCAGAATTCATGTTTTGCTGATGCATCTTTCACATTCCTGGCTGTAAACCCCAGCCTTTGAAATAAGAAAGCTCTAGGTCACCACCCTTTTGTCATTCTAGTTTTGCCTTTCCCCATCCAATTGTTTTCTTCCTTGTCCTCACCTTGCTCATGCTTATACCTGAAGTGGTATTTTAGGCCTCCTTCTACACCCTCTGAGTGGAGTGTAGGACTGAAAATGTTTTGCCTCTCACATCCATTCCTGGAAACAGTGCATCAGGAAGACACATTGAAGACATTTATTTTTTGTAAGTTTAATTTTATTTTTAATTGGCACATAATAATTGTAGATATTTACAGGGTACAATGTGATGTTTGGATACATACATATATTGTGTAATGACCAAATCAGGTTAATTAACAAATCCATCACCTCAAACATTTGCTATTTCTTTGTGGTGATAACATTAAAAATTCCTTTCTAGCTATTTTGAAATATGCCATACATTATAGGTAACTATAGTAATAACCATGCTGTGCTGAACATTAGGACTCATTCCTACTTTCTAATTGTAACTTTGTATCCATTGACAAACTGCTCCCAATCCTCACTTCCTCCTTACCCTCCCCAGACCCTAACTACTAGTCTGTACTCTACTTCTGTGAAATCAACTTTTTTAGATTCCACGTATGAGTGAGATTGTGTATTATTTGTCTTTCTGTGTCTGACTTATTTAACTTAACATAGCATTCTCCAGGTCCTTCTGTGTTGTAGCAAATGACAGGATTTCATTCTTTTTTTTCCTAGCCAAATAGTATTCTATTGTGAATATACTTTTTTTTTCAAGAGGCAGGGTCTCACTGTCACTCAGGCTAGAGTGAAGTGGTGTGATTATAGCTCACTGTAATCTTGAACTCCTGGGCTCAAGCAATCCTCCCACCTCAGCCTCCTGAGTAGCTGGGACTGCAGGTGCGCGCCACCATGCGTGGCTAATTTTTAAATTTCTTTTAGAGATGGGGTCTTGCTATGTTGGCCAGGCTGGTCTTGAATTCCTGCCCTCAAGCAATCCTCCTGCCTTGGCCTCCCAAAGTGCTGGGATTACAGGTGTGAACCACCACACCTGGCCAGGCACTTTTATTTAAAAAGACATTTCCATTGTTTACTGAGTCAAGTTCATTCCTTGTGTTTACAAGGAATAAATCACCATCCTAGTGATTTATATCAATACCTAGTCACAAATAGAAATTTTAGAAATCACAACCTGCATTCTAAGTAAAATTTTAAAATCTAGACTAGCTCCAACATCACTTTCCACATTTATAAAATACCATTGTCATAGCTTCTCAGTGCTGTTTTAGTGCTGCATCCACATGGCTATTTCTGCACTGGTCACATTGTATTAGAATTGCTTATATGTTTGGCCCCACAACAGACTATGTTTCTTGAGGTCAGTGATTGCATCTGATTTATCTAGTATGTGGTACTAAGTGACTATTTCCCTTAGCCACAGCATACCTTTATTATAAACCCAGGCTGTTTTATGTTAAATAATATTTTTACTCATTTTTCACCTTAAAATAGAAGACTCTATTGCTTTTTACGAATTATAAAAATAATGCAGGCTCATTTTAAGAAAATTAAGCTATTTAAAAATGCATAAAATAATAAGCAAAATTTCCTCTATACTTTTGCCTCACCTCTCTATCCTGTGTGGTAATCAACATCAATATTCTGCACTACATCCTTACAGACATTTTAATTCATATATTACTGTATGCATAGGTACCAACAAAATCAAAGCATAACATACCTGCCTTGTTCACTTAATGCTTTGCAGATACACAGACACAAATAATATTATTAGCAATACAGGTTGACTAGGACTCTCTCTAGGTATAGATTGATTCTAAGCCTTGCTTTTAACAATACAAGTGGTTTAAGGCCAGAACTAGCTTTTCTCTCTTTTCTATTAAGGACACTTTCCGTTTTCCACAAATCATGTTCTAAATAGATGTTGTTTGGCCCAAATAGTCAAATGATGCTGCCATTGCTCTAATAGGAAAACAAAGAATACATAGTTCATTGGATTTCTGTTTAATTTCTGTCTCAACTTCTTGGTAGCCATATGGGAAGCCCTGTGATCTGAGGATTTCTATTACATATAAAACCTGGAAAGCCTCCTAAATCCTTAGAATTACAAACTTTTAGAACTAGGAAGGCTCTTAGTTGTTGTTATGCAGATCTTTCCTATCAAAGATGAGGAAATTGAGGCCTGCGGAAGGTAAACCAGCATATAATAGTAGAATTGGAGCTAAATCCTAGATCATACTTGATGGACTCTTTGAGATTATTGGCCCAATGCCTCCATGTAAGTGCAAGATGTATTATTATTAATAAAGTAGTTCAGTAATAAAAAGTCAGTCATAATTGAATTCTTTGCTAAGAAAACCATCAAATAGCTATGGAACACCTTTTACCCCATGTTTAAATCAGATTCATTTTGATGATAAATTATTTAAAAGCAAGTTTAAGAAAATATAAAATCTTAAGTGCTATTAAAAATTGATTAGGAATGCATTATTCTTTCATTGACCCAGTTCAGATTGTTTTTTAATTTTTTGGTCAAAGCTAATAAATTTGAGTAGATGTTTCAGACAGACATTTTGCAATCATTTGGTCATCAGTCAATTAATCACAACTTCATAAATATTGATTTTAAATTACATTTATTCTTCATTCCTGAAAGACTATTTTTTGTTTGTTTTAAATTTATACACCCCCATCTGGATTGTGAGTAACGCTGATAAAACTCATAACTTTTATTAAAAGTAATCAGAGGTGTTGGCCCAGTTGCATGGACGTCAGGCATGGTACCATCGTCTCACAGGCTGAGAATTCTGAGCTAAAATTTCTCAAGATGGTGGCATGAAAGACGGATGCTTGTTACTGCAGAGGAATTTGGGTTTCTCATGCACAGTAGGTTTTGTTTTTGTTTTTTATTTAATCAAATAGATTGACATATCTACTTTTATTGCAAAACTAATGGAAGTTAGCATTTATTCATTTAATGTATTCTTATTAAAAACATTAAGGAAGAACTATCTTAGACAAAGTTCTGTCTCATGGAGCTTACATTCTAGCGGGAAAGTTATGCTTCACTGGCTTGGAACTAAACTTGGCCTCCTAAGTAGCAGTTGAGGTTGTATTACTGAACCCACACATCAAGTTTATATGTAATCACAATATAGTGATTGTAGAATAAAAAAAATGTAATTAGTTATTTATTTGTTCAGTCCACCAGTATTTAAATATTTTTATGTACCAGGCACTGGTCTAAGGGCTGGGTATACAGCCATGAATCAGACAACCAAGATTCCTCTCTTCATTTATTCATTCAATATTTTATTTACTACCAATGAGGTGCCAGCCACTGTGCTATTAATGAGCCACTTTATAAATGGAACAACTGAGCCCAACACTTCTATTCCATCACAAAATGTGTATTTCTACAGTAATTTCTTTTCTGGATGCTCTTATTGTTGGTGAGCCCCTGGCTACTGTGCCACAGCAAGTTATAATTTTAAATATTTTAAAATGTTGCAAATTGGGTGATTGTTTTAAATTAGGTCATATAAAAAAGAATATTTTAGTTCCACCTAAGGCTAAGTGGTGCTTCACAAATGTTTGTTGAATGTTAGAGAATAAATGAAGGTAATATTGTCTTTGGGAATATTATAACAGGAACCACCAAGGCAGAGAGGTTGTGGGATTTGCCATAGTAGTAGAATAGGGAACCCAGCTCTGAGATACTGACTTGCTTTTGTTTTAAGTTGCCAATCAGAGCACATTCACTCTCTTCCTGCACTTATTTTTAGGTGTGAGCAGAAGTTTGAACGTGATGTTCCTCCATTGAAACCCAAAGCCAGGTCCCTTTTAATAAAGGTAATGTTTTCATCATCCGATTTATTGAAACTCTACAAATAATCACATTCTGTATGAGGGCACCTGGCCCTTAAAGGCATCCTGCACTTGCCCATGGGGTCCTTAGCAGCTGTCTGGAGCCTTGCCAAGTTGCTTTACCTGGAAATAGGGCTCAACACCTCTGTTACACACTCAATGCTTCCAGACATTGTTTTAGCAGCTGAATC